CCTGCAAAGGAAAACATTGAGGCGAGTAGCTGCACATACAACAATCAGTTATAAAGTGAAGATAAAGAAAAAAGTGCCAACATTTTGAAATACGTATTCTGCTGGAGGAACAAATTATAGGAAGTGTGAAAGTTGTTGTGTTTCCCCAGTGCAGCATTTTCCATTAAAACAGGTATTAATCTCTGCTAATTAAAGCAAGATAGTCAGACCTGTGGCCAAAGAACTACTGAAAAATAACTCACCACTTGCTAATTTAGTGACCATTGCCTTGACTGTCACCTTGGTGATTGCTTCCTGTTTCTCACCAAAAATTTTCCAAGATCATACATACACCTACATCCATGCAGTGTATGTTATACAATTAGTAGGCGTACACATTTATTGATAACTAATTTTCACTAAGTGAACAGAAATACTACATTTTGCTTTTTATGATAGTGGTTCATAACCCCTATATTAGCTTACAAAGACACTAACAATGTCGGCAGTTTTCACACTCAGTTATTCATTCTACATGTGACCTACGATACTATGGCTGGGCAGGAAACTCCACTATTAACCACTGGGAAATCAGAGATATGTCTCAGATTATCATAACGTGGTAGAAACAGCCGCCTACTTGTCTTAATTGATCCGCGCCTTATGGTCTGAGCTTTCAGTTTAATGAGCTCTATCCAGCTGTTGCATCTGTCTGCAAAGGAACTGTAATCAACTGACGTTGCTGAAAACACAGACAGAAAAACAAAAGAAAAAACAAAGAAAAAAAATATGGATGATGTCTCTTGCTCATCTCAATGCTCCTTTTGAGGAAGCAATTAGCTGTGTCTGAGAGAGAACAAACATCCCTTTCCGGGTCTGTTCAAAGGAAGTCATAGTATAGGTTTGGACAAGTCCAAACCAGTGTACCGATTTCTGGTGATGTCCCAGCTGTGAACCAACTGCCTGACTGGGACTTCATCACTGAAAAAACATGCAAATACAGTCATTAACGACTTATGCTAGATTATTTTTATTTTAATCTCATTTTAGGTATAAAGTTCTGGCTTCTTTCAGTTTATTTAAGTCTTGTTTAATTTTAATTTTCATTGCTATTCTTTTCCTCACAAAAAGGTGCTGATCATGACTTAAACTTCCTAACTATCTTAATCAATATCTAACCTACAGACTGAAAAAATGCTTTGCTGATGAGGGTAAGAGTCACGAGCTGAAACAACACCTCAGTTTTAAAACACGCATGAATTTTCCTCACAAAATGTTGTCCTCCTTTCCCCAACATCCCCCCTCCAACACCGTCCTCCCCCGTTATCATTACAATGAGAAGGAGAGTTGTTTCTGCTATGACTTTTGGTATTAGTTGCAGGGGTGTTTGCATATCTTAAAAAAAAAAAAAGTTTTGCAAACACCGTTTCTTCATTATCCTGAAGAAACGGAAGGAAAACATGCTAACTTCAAATTAAGACAAGCAAAAAAGCTCTCTCTCAGGGAACTAATTTTCTGTCAGATAAAGTGGTATCACTGCATCTGACAGAGACACACTTCTTATTAACAAATCTGATTTTTGTAATTAAAAAACACATCAAAATATTATGATTATCATTAAGCCACACCAGAGCATGCATTCTCAGTTAACTAGTAAACACTTCCTGGATTAAGACACATCCAAAAAGAGTATACCAATAACCCAAGAATGCTCATTCTGTTCTGGCA